GAAGATACAGAGGAGGGCAACCAGAATGATTGAGGGAATGGAAGGACTGGACTATGAGGAGCAACTAAGTAAATTGGGCATGTTCACGCTGGAAAAGAGAAGATTGAGAGGTGATATGATTGTTGTCTTTAAGATTCTAAAGGGGAAAGACAATATAGATCATGACAGGCTGTTTCAACTTGTCCAGAATAGTAAAAACAGTGGACACGTCCTGCGATTGAATGGGGTAAATTCAGAATGAATCTATGCAAACACTATTACAGTGAGCAAATAGTGAACCTGTGGAACAGGCTCCCTAGGGAGACGGTTGAAGCAGGAAGTGTTGATTCTTTCAAACACTGATTAGATAGTTTTCTTTTATGAAATAATATTATGGGATATAGTTCATAGGTAGTTTGGGACATATGTGCATGCGACCGCCAGGAATGTGGAAGGCAAACTAGATGGACCTTGGTCTTTTCTTGTCTAGCGTTTCTTATGTTCTTATGTTATTATGTTTATGTTCAATGGGTCATCGATTACAATATTAAAATTTAAAAGTCTCAGAGATCCAGATTATATCTAAAGTGAGCCATTTTGGTCATTTTAGATTTTAAAGTTCAATAATTGATGATACTGGTTATTCCTGTCCTTTGACAAGGGCTATCGCAGGTCTCCAGTGCTTTACAACCTTCATTGTACCAAGAAAGAAAGTCCATTCAAACAATAACAATTTAGATGGTGCCCTTCACGTAGAATAGTGTCTCAGAGCAGAGACATTAGATGTCTTGCTCATCAAGCTAGTCCTATTGAGAGATGGCTATTGGGAGAGAGCGGGGGAGTGGGATTGATTTGGATGGCTCTTTTCAAAGAGCCAGCACAGACATGATGGGCCGAATTGCCTCCTTCTGTGCTGTATACTTCTATGATTCTCTGATCTCACCCCCTGTATTTCTTTCTTTACATGGTAGAGTCTGGAGCAAGGAAAGTATGCAAATAGATTTATTCTTGTGTTTCCATGTCATCTGACCTTTATATGCAAAGGTGCACCATTTATATTAGTTATCATATTTTCCTATTCATTGTGATTAAAAAACTTTTCGACTGGATTTTGATCACCACAGTACACATGCAGATTTTATATCTCCCTTTTGCTAACTCTCATGGCACACGATTGAGCATCTTTATGGCAGACCAGTTCCACAATGCTTTATTACACTTTGTTATGTTTTAGAACCTTGGGATCTAATTTGCCTTTTTTTTTAATGGGTCTCCTTGATATTGAAACTGAGTTATGTAAATGGGTACACCTTCCACTTAAGTAGATCACATCACTCCCACCCTCGCTCGCCTCCATTGGCTCCCCATCCCCCAGAGGATCGAATTCAAGATCATCATCCTCACCTTCAAGGCCATTCACGGCCTTGCTCCCTCCTACCTCTCCGATCTACTATCCCCCTACTTACCTGCTCATACCCTCCGTTCCTCTGGCTCCGGTCTGCACCACATCCCCCGCCCTAACCGCCCTACCATCGTTGGCCGGGCTTTCAGCCTCTCAGCCCCTAGGCTCAGGAACTCCATCCCCCAGTGCCTTCGCCTTGCTTCCTCCCTTTCCTCCTTCAAGGCCTATCTCAAGACCTTTCTCTTCCACCGTGCCTTCACCTCCCCTCTCAACTCTCTACCCCCTCCTCGCTCTCTCCCTTCCCTCCGCTCACCCTGGCCATTTCCCCCCTGCTCGGGTCCCGACCTAACTGTCCAGCGCCTTGGGACGTCCTCCCGACGTGAAAGGCGCTCTATAAATGCAAGCTTGTTGTTGTTGTAGATAATATTTTTCTAATGGGATTGAGAAAGCAAACCCAGAATAATTCTTTCAGATGTACAGAGATAGCAGAACAAGAGGATACAAGTTTAGGGTTGCACAGGGGAAATTGTGGACAAACATCAGGAAGTATTTCTTTATTCTGAGGGTAATTAATGACTGGAACAGATTACTAGGAAAACCGGTTGAGGCCAATCTGTTGGGCTCATTTAAAAAACACCTTGATGCTGTAATGGAAAGATGGTAGGAATTCTAATTCATATTTAAGAATTCTGTTAAGAAATATTATACCCTTTTGTTGCTTTTACTGCTAAAAAAAACAGCACATGTCTCCAATCTTCAAATGAAAACTTAGAAAATGTTCCAGGTTGTGACCGATCCATTTGAAAAGAACATGTGAATATTTGGAAATGTCCCATATGTTTCACAGTACCCCCCAAAACCTGCCTCCTATTGAGCCCCCAACCAGCCCGAGTTTGACCCCTGACCAGCCTGACAATTCCGCGACCAGCAGGTATTAAAAGCTGTGACACAAATAAGCCGGTTGGTCTCTGTCAGAATAGTTACAGGCATTCTGTTGTAAATGCTCTGGAGCCATTCTCCTGTCAGGGTGAGCCCTGCCCTGCCCAAGTTCATCTTCTCTGGAGTAACTCTTATACTAATCTTTGCATTTGATACAGCACCTTTCATGTCCGGAGGACTTATCAATGCACTCACAGTGTTTACTGTAAAGTATCGTGACTGTATTTTGTAGGTGAACGCAGCAGCCAATTTGTACACATGTATACACAATGATCGATTTGCCTTCTCATCTGTGCAGAATTGTTCATTTTTTCTTTTGATCATGAAACTGAGTAAAACTTTTACTAATCTTTTGGACCCTAGGATAAATAATAATAATCCATGTCGTTAAGACGTCTCAATGCAGGTCACAGAAGGATATAACTGAATGAACCAGATTCAGGACACTGTATTTTGTGGGCGAAATGTAGCAGCCAGTTTTGCACACAGCAATAATAATAATAATAATAATCCTTGCATTTGATATAGCGCTTTTCACGTCGGGAGGACGTCCCAAAGCGCTTCACAGAATATACCGTAAAGTGAATTGACTGTATATTTGTGGGCGAACGCGGCAGCCAATTGCGCACAGCAGTGTCCCACAAACAGTTGTGGATTGAAAATGACCAATTTATTATTGTTTGGGTTTTGGAGGGATTATTATTAGGCGTGTGGAGTAAGGAAACTTGCCCAAGGTCTCGCCCTGCCTGGAATTGAACTCAGGTCTCTCGCTTGCAAAGCGAGTGCTCTAACCACTGAGCTACAGGATTCCACAGTCCTGTAGCTCACAATGTCCCATAAACAGCCATGGTGTGTTTTCGTAGGGGGTGGAATTGTTGGCCAGGATACGAGGAGAAATTCTCTTTTCGAATAGTGCCACGGGATCTTTAACGTCCCCCAAACAGGCAGATGGGACCCCGGTTTAACGTCTCATTCACAGGACGGCACCTCCGACAATGCAACATACGTTGCGTTGGAGTGTCTGCTTAGACGTATGTGATTCCAAGTTCCGACGAGGGCTTTAACCCACAACCTTCTGACTCAGAGTGTTACCACTAAGCCAGGCTATACACACTATAAAGTTGGATGAAATACAGAATTAGCATAGTTTTGTTTTTAAATCCAAATGATATAATTGATAGGTTGAACTAATTTATCAAGCTTTACTGAACTTTATGGCCTCAATGCAGACAAATTAGTCTCACACTGCTTCAACCACTTCCTCCCGAAGAGCCTGCTTCTTCCTTCCTCACTGGCACATCATTGGAATAAAATGATCGAAAACATTTTCAGCATTCTAGAAACCAAACGGCTCATGTATGAATAAAATCATTAGTTTCCAGTCTAGCATCCTTCACACAAAAGGGAGGGGGTAAAAGTTAAAATACATCAGAGCTGTGTTTATACCTGAAATAAAACCAAAGAAATATATTTTAAAGAAACTGCAACAAAAAGCACACAAACTGCAACAAAAAGCACACAAACTGAAGGTGTTATCAGATATTTGCAAATACGGTATGTGGTATGTACTGAATTAAGTACAATGTTATCCTTTTTTGCATTGGTCAAATTAGAAGCATAAGTTAGAGACGGAATGGCTCCACAAACTGAGTTAAATCACAAGACTTCATTAAGAATGAAATTACTTTTTTTTGAAAAAACCCACAAAATGACCAGTTTGAGATTTTTAAGTAAATAATAGATGAATATTTTTATGAACTATTTAGAATGTAAAGTTTAATAACTTGATATGAATGCAATATATATAATACATTTACATATAATATATATAATAATTCTGGCATTTGATATAGGGCCTTTCATGTCCTGAGCACGTCCCAAATTGCTTTGAAGGATCTACTGTGAAAAGGAGTGACTGTATAATTGTAGATGAAAATAACCTGCACATCACTACATAAACATTATCTCACCCACCATGAAGCTGGAGATAAATCATAGAAAGCATCTCAGAATTATGTAAATAAACTTATGCAAACGTTGTGCTAGATTAAACTTTTTAACTCTGATGTGAGCTTTCTTGTTTCGAAGCTTACTTCTATTGTAAACCCCAAAAGAAGCAACAAGACATTATTGTGTAGAATTACACATCAGAGGTGTCAGCCATATACAATAAATAACATTTTTTGACTTTTACAGCTGCCAACAATTCAGTACCTCTTTGCTTAATTTTATAAACTGGTTCAAAGCGAATCATGACTTAATATTTATCAGATAGGAAAAAAAAGGACATTTTATGGAAAAGGAGAATTGAGGTGTTTCAGTCTGCTTCAATATGTGTTTTTTTAAAAAAAAATCATGTATGTGCCTTAGTTCAGCTTGCAATGGTGTGGTTTCCTGCAGAATATATGAGTCAATTTGAAACTTTCAGAACTTGTAAATATTGAAGCACTGCAATATGCCTGAAGCTTTTACAGGTGCCCTAAAATTAAAATGGGTTGTGGTGGCAGGAAGGTTTCGAACTTCTCATGTAAATAAATCAGTTGGTCAGGTTTACAAAGCAAATGAGTTGGGAGAAAGCTGTCACGTGAGACACAAAGTTTGTTGCGAAGTTTTTCTATTTCCCTCACTCACCACACACTCACTCACTCACTCACTCAACCCCCCAAAAAATTGGATAGAGGAGACTCTGTAAGTTCTTCTGCAAAACAAACCACATCCCAGGACAACTTCTGCAGGAGCACAGTGAGTTCAAACACCTTTACTACCTGTGCCTTTTGCTGGATGCAGACATTTGTTTTATTGTGGTTGGTGTAGGTGCAGTTTGGGGAAATGACTAATGTTTGTCTTATTTCTAGTAAAGGGGGTGTGGGGAAGAGGCTAAAAAAAAAGCAGACCAGCCATACAGGGGCAGTGGCAGAAATAAAAAAGGAGAGAAAGAAAGAGAGAAGACAGTCAATCAATCAGTCACAGGGCGGATAGTCACAGGAAAATAGGTACAATCATAGAAAGGACAAGAAACAAACACAGAGAGGAACTCAGAAAAGTTAGGCAGTGAGATATAAAGTTATATATAGGTGAGGTTGCAGAGGACAACAGCAATATTTCCAAGACAAGGGGGGAGCACACAACAGAAAGACATGAACGTGGAGAGGCTGGAGTCCCAGAGAGGAGAATTTGGAAGTCACTGATAGGAAGCCTTGGGACAGGAACACCAACAGAGCAGAGAGCCTGGAGAGAAGAACAGAGAACTTGGGTGATAGGAGAGTCTGTAAGATAGATTCACAGACTGTCAGGGAAAGAGACTGGAACGTGAAGGATAGTCAAGAGTCTGGGACTGAGACACCAGGATAAGCACAGGGAGTGTGAGGGACAAGGGGCTGGAAAGGAATGGGGACAGAACTGTGTGAAGACAGGGGGGGAAACTGAAAGACAAGGTCAGGGACACAGAGGCTGAGCCTCAGAGACAAGGAGCTCAGGCTGGTTAGAGAGAGTGAGTGGCTGCACTTTCCTCCTGGCAGGAACTTGCCAAACCGCCCAGACCCTGAGCTGTGCGGCAAGTTCCAGTTTCAGTCTGCGTCCTGGGAACCTAACGTGGGAATGTCTCAAGTCCAGCAGCTACACGGAGCGAGAGACAGACATCCCATCTGCAATAGGAAACACACAACTGACCATGGAAAGAAAACGTTGCGCGTATCTCAAGTTTATTCAGCCTGAATTGGTGCACACGATTCCTTCTTAAGTTAACCTCAGATCCAGGACCGCTTAACTCGACAGGTAACTGGTGTGTAAACGGGCACTGGGTGTGGGAGCAGTCGCTCGAAGTCCCTCTTATCTCTTTGTGATTGTTTTATGTGCAAGAGAAAGTTATTGAAAGTCATTGAAACTCTGGAAAGTGCCTTTTTGGAGGATCCTCAGGTTGTGGATGTGTTGAACAGGTTGTTCCAACATACTCCTGTGTTGACCCAGTTTTCTGTCGCTCTTTGTGTTCAAAAATCTTTCTCCAATTAAGAACTGGGCTGAGCCCCCACCACCCCTCCTCTTTCCAGCAACCTCCATTTGGGTGGGAAACTTCTGTGACTCATTGGGACCTTTGCAAATCCTTCCTCCTTCCCTCTTTTAAAAGCAATGCCAGAGAACAGTCTGAACTCTTGCTTAGTATTTTAGCCCATCTCCACAAGAGGGCGAGGTACAAGCAATTCACCCACCGCCTTGTAAATAATATCAAATGCAAGGATTATTATTATTATTACTAACCTGAAGGGATAGAAATTCCACACAAGTTTGGATTTACTGTGTTTTGTTTAGTATCTAGGAGCATTCGGAATTTGACAAATTCTTAAATATGGCTTTAACTTTGAAACTTTTTCTTTTATTTTACAGACAATCAGCTTCAAAGTTGAGACTGAAGTCAACGCAAAATTTCAAGTTCAGCACACTCTGAAATGGTACGTAAATAAAGTAATAGTGGACTCGGGTGGAATTTCTAACCCTGTACTGAATGTTCAATTTTGGGTCTGAGTGCCAACGGGGTAAAAATAAGTCCCTTATCTTGACGATCTCAACAGTTCATCTCCAAGTAAGTCTATAGTAACCACCCGCTTCATGAACAGTTCTATTGTGTCAGCCTGGCTTAGTTTTTAGCACTCTCATCTCCAAGTCAGAAGGCAATGGGTTCAAAACTCACGTTTCAGCTCACTCGGGACTGAGACCCCAGCTCAGTGCTGGGAGAGCACTGTATTGTTGGAGGTGCCATCCTTCGGATGAGATGTTAAACGGGGGTCTCGTCTGCTCGTTCAATGGATGTTAAAGAACCCATAATTTCCACTGGTCTCCTGGCCATTAATCCTCCAGATAAAATGGCTCATTCATTTTATTGCTGTTTGTGGGCTATTTCTATGTGTAAATTAGCTGCTGTGTTCACCTGTAAATACACTCGCTACAACAACAACAACATTACATTTGTATAGCCTTTTGTGTTGGGAGGATGTCCCAAGGCACTGGACAATCAGTGTTTCGGATCCGAGCTGGAGATCGGGAAAGGTGGGGGGGGGGATGGAGGGGGACCGAAGGCACTGTAGAAGAGGAGGGTCTTGAGTCGGGTCTTGAAGGAGGTAAGAGAGCGGAGGAAGCGGAGGGATTGCAGAATGGAGTTCCAGAGGGTGGGGGCAGAGTGGCTGAAAGCCCACCCACCAATGGTGGGGCAGGCGAGGCGGGGGACATGAAGCAAGCCAGAACCTGCTGAGCAGAGGGAGCGGGCAGGTTGGTAGGGATTAGGAGGTCGCAGAAGTAGGGGGTAGCAAGACCATGGAGGGCTTTGAAGGTGAGGCACAGGATCTTGAACTGTATTCTTTGTGTTATGGGAAGCCAGTGGAGTCGGGTGAGGATGGGGCTGATAGGGTTGTGGAGGCTGGTGCAGGAGAGGACACGAGCTGCAGAGTTCTGGATGATCTGCAGCTTATGTAGGCAATGTTGCGGAGGTGGGGGATGGCAGAGCGAGACATAGCAAGGATGTGGGGTAGAAAGGATGGTTGAGGATCAAACAAGACGCCAAGGCCACTACATTTTGCAGTAAATCCTGTGAAACGCTGCAAATATTCAACCACTCGATAAGGTACTAAATCAGATGCAAAGATTATTATTATTATTGTGATCATTTATTGTGAATGATTCATTTTCCTTAGGAAAATGAGACACAAGATTCCTAGGAAGCTGGGATGTAAGGTTTAAAGAGACGAGTTGATTGGAGAGAAAAAACGACGCCACCGTTGAGGAACCTGATGAGGATCATTATGAGGTAAGATGAATAGAGTGCTTTTGAAAATCCTCAGACTTCATCTTTTCCGATTTTAAAACAAAAACTTTGTTTAGACAGCGCTGTAACTAAAGTTACTCTTAAAGCATGGCGATTGAGTTTCCGTAGATACCCGCTGATCGAACGAAAATTTCAGGAAGGAGTGCTGCTAGCGATGTAAATAATAATAACAATCCTTACATTTGATGTTGCGCTTATCATGTCATTGAAATGATTAACAACCGGGTTCCTACTTACTGCTAGGTAAACAGAGGTGTGTGGAGTAAGGAAACTTGCCCAACATTTCGCCCTGCCAGGAATCGAACCCAGGTCTCTTGCTTGCGAGGCGAGTGCTCTAACCACTGAGCTACAGGACTCCAGTATGTGGACTATAGCTGTCCTAAATCTACCTACTCATTTGAATTAAACTCTTCAAACTGGCATGTGGAGATAATGTGTGGGTAGCCAGTTTTATCCACACCAGTAGATGCTCAGATTTCCTGCAAGCTACAGAACAGCTTAGTCAAAAAGCACATGCCACTAACCAGCAGTCAAAAGTCGTATTGCCTAGAAGGTTAGTTTAGGCCAGAGCACTGGACTTGTTTAAGAAAGAGCTTTATACTGTGATGGGAGGTGGGTATTCTGGAAGGATGAAAATCAGATGGGCTGAAGGGCGTTCCTCATTGACCCAATCTCATGATCTTCTGATCCAAGAGCCGGAAGTCCAATGCAATAGACCCAGATTGTCCGACTTTATCACTGAGATCGATTGATCGATTCAATGTGATAAATATCAGAGTAACCTGTAGCAATGTGCAACACAGTAGGAGAGCATTCAGCCATTTCTGTTGGTGTTCGCTCCTCCAAGAAGCCATCTTATTTCCTGTTTGTTTCCAATGACCAATCACAAATCTAGCCAGTTTGACTACAGCACCAATGAAGATGGTTTATTTTGTCAGTTTCTGTAGAATTAGATAAGTGCCATCTCAGCACAAAACTAATTTAGATAGCAAATAGCATGGGATGGAGTGCTCCAAATTGTATTCTTGGAAACGTTCATGTCTTTGTCTACTGCTGTGTAGTTTTACGTGAATTATTTGCTACAGAAATTATTTTTGGTTGAGAGGAAGTTCAGAGCCTAGGTGAGCAAAGTGTGACAGCCAAGTATCCATCAATGAAAGCCTTGTTCAGTTTACTCCACTTAAATAGATACCCCTTTCAAATAGATAGGTTCTCAAAAGACTAGCATTTCCCCAATTCATTTCTACAGGAGCCTTTTCTGTGAAGTGTATAGTAATGAGGGTAATTTTCTTTTAAGTGCACAATTTTGCAATCCATGCCTCCATTAGAACTGGTAATTTATTCAGCTAGGGTTATAGTTGGTGTAAATATCATACTCAAACCTGCGAATGTTAAAAAGTTAAAATGTACCAAGATCGCTAAATGGATCACTGTAGACTGAATGTTTGAATGAAGGACATGACACAATGGAGCAGGTTCCAAGCTGATGGAGGGCTGAAGATATGCACAAGATTTGAGCTGAGTTTTTTTAGATGATCTGGCAAACTAAAATGATTTAAAACAGTCATCTTATAGGTCAGCACAAGATAGAGAAAATACATTTTCTGCTCTTATGCACAAAATATTGGACATGTAGAAAAATTGTTCGGGAATCTACTGGTAAATGTGCACATTGCAGAAACTAGAAACATCAGTTCATTGTGTCTGTGCCATGCTCTCCCCCCACCCCCATGTGTAAATATTGTCAGCCTGACTCATTTGTTAACAATCTTGCCTCGCATGTTGTTTTAGTTATTTTCAATTTCCTCTATATCTTCCATTAACTTCCTTCCCTACCGGCCTTTGGTTTTATTCCCTCCCACACTCTCCCCATGTTGTTTCTTAATCATCATGAGCATGTGCTTAGAGTCTCTCTTTCTCCTTGCCCCGTTCTTATTTTTTGATTTTCAATTCATCTAGAGAACTTCTGCTCTGATCCCTCCGTTTTAGTCACTTTGGCATGTCTTTCCATTCCTCCATTACAATAATCATTTCTACTTTACCAGTCGCCTTGAGGAATGAATGTTTGACTTCAGAAGGATACCTATAAATGTAATTTTGTTGTTGTTTTTGTTGTATTTCTCCATGCGTTTCACATTTTTATTATGAATCTGTGAATGTCAGTACCGTAAAGTGTACTGGGTGGCCTCTGCATTAACTTCTAACTCCGTGAATGCAAAATTCCTGCTCTTGAGGGATTTGACTATTTGGAGCCACACGACAACAGGCATTCCCAATTGGCTTACTGCCCCTGCAATCAAGATGCCTTATCAACTACCAGGTCACAAAGTACAACAACTACCTGTTTTAGTGTATTTTCTCTACCTCCCCCCCCAAGGACATAACAGAGACTCGGAGGTAATACTGAGCAGGTACAATGGATGTTTATTAACTTCTAGATCACAATGATTCAGAATAAACACAACATTGGAAACTGATACATTAAAATTCATCTGCGAAAAACTATGATAATGGCAGCAATTCACTAAAATTAGTACATAATAAAAATCAATCTTGACTTGGAGGTAATCCCCCTCAAATCAGGCACGTACAATATTGTTGGGCTTAAGGCCAGCGACCACGAGATAAGCCAAGACCTCTCTTTATATAGGCATAAGGCTCCTCCCCTCAAACAAACGTGGGTATTTTCCCGTGCTAACCACCATGGGTTCTAAACTAGAGAAAATAACTTTTTTCCTGAGGCACTCCTAGACTTAGTGTCTCTGGAACTGCTTGGAAAACTATATAAGAGCCGTTTGTCCTGTTAGGAACTCACCCCCAACATATAAAATATAAGTGACAAGCACCCCCACCATATAAATTATTAATATTAATATTTACAATATTAATATTTACAATACATTTTTATATTTATACAGGATACAGAGTGTACAAAAAACAGAAGAACTGTGAAAACATATAAAAATCAAGAAATGGAATGGGTTTAGAAATACTGAAAAAATTATCTAATAATTCGGAAATGAAAGGAATAATACAGAAAATGTCTTTTCAGAACTGAATTGCCCCCGACTTTGATTTTAATAGAGTGAGGAAAACGTTTTCTGATTCCTAGTTGCGCAAATCGTTTTTTTAAAAAGATTTTTACTTTTAAATTAATTTTAGGCCACTATTTGGCAAGCAAGCATTAGATATCCATTCTCTGCGACCCGATTAGAAAGATTTTCAATCAGGGTGTAACAGCTGTTAGATGTCGAGATTGCAATGGCAATTTCTTGTTCTTGTCCTTCCTCCCCCACATCCGGACAATGACCAGGAGCACCTTCTTCCACCTCCGCCACATTGCCCGCCTCCAACCATACCTCACCCGAAATGCAGCCGAAACCCTCGTGCATGAGTTTGTCACCTCCTGCTTGGATTACTCCAACGCATTCCTCGATGGTCTCCCCAGCTCCAGCCATCAACTCATTCCAAACTCTGCCGCCCGCATACTGACCTGGTCCAAACTCTGTACCTACATCTTACCAGTTCTGGCCAGATTCCACTGGTTCCACATCACCAAACGTATCGACTTCAAGATCCTTATACACATGTTCAAATCCCTTCACTCTCTGGCATCTCCCTACCTCTCCGACCGCCTCACTCCCCAATCCACCACCTGGTGCCTCGACTGGCACCAGCCTCCTGCTCATCCCTCGCACCCTCTGCCCACCATTGGAGGTCGTGCTTTCAGCCACTACGCCCCAAAACTCTGGAACACTCTGCCTCAATCCCTCCGCCTTGCCCCCTCTCTCCCCTTTTTTAAGTCCCGTCTGAAAACTTTCCTCTTCGACCCTGCTTATGGCCACCTCTTCCCCCACCGGCTCCGCCACTGTTAAGCGCTCTGAGACACTATCCTTCGTAGAGGTGTTATATAAGTGCAAGTTGTTGATGTCATCGTGCACCCCAAAATATTCTTCTGGCTTGACTTTTTCAATTCCATTAAAAATTTTATTTACCTCTATAAGGTCCTCTCTGAAAAATCTTCAATCAAGACTGAAGAGTCCTAGCTGTCTAATTGGTATGTCTATGGAAGCCTATTCATATTGTCCTGCAGATGTTAACAACAACAACAAAATTACATTTGTAAAGCACCTTTCACGTCTTGAAGGTGGTGAGGGAGGGGGCGAGGTGGAGAGACTGCGGGATGAAGTTCCAGAGGGTGGGGGCAGAGTGATGGAAGGCCCGCCCGCCAATGGTGGGGTGAGTGAGGCTGGGGACGTGAAGCCTGCTGAGCGGAGGGAGAGAACAGGATGGTAGGAGGTAGGAGTTCGCAGAGGTAAGGGGGAATAAGACCATGGAGAACTTTGAAGGTGAGGACAAGGATCTTGAACTGTATCCTCTGTGTGATGGGAAGCCAGAGGAGTTGGGCAAGGATGGGGGTGATAAGGTCGTGGAGCCTAGTGCGGGAGGACATGGGCTGCAGAGTTCTGGATGATCTGCAGCCTGTGGAGGGAGGAGTTGGGGAGGGAGGCCGACAAGCAATGAGTTTGCATAGTCGAGCCTCGATGTAATGAAGGCGTGCATGAGGGATTCGGTGGTCTGCGTTGTGAGACAGTGGCAGAGCCGGGCGATGTTGTGGAGGTGGGGGAAGGCAGAGTGGGTCATGGCGTAGATGTGGTGTAGAAAGGATAATTGAGGGTCAAACACGACCCCAAGGTTCCGGACTGGCTTAGCAAGGTGGAGTGTGCAACCATGGATGTGATGCTGTCAGCGCCTGAGGTGAGGAGGCGCTGACGGGAGCCAATCAGAAGAGTTAATGCATTTGACATGTCAACATGACAAAGTTGAGCTGTCTTACTCTGTGATGAACCACAACTATAGTCAAAAATAAGGTTTTAGTAACCTGGCTCAAACAAGGGCAGGAATGGGAACTGAATATTCCTGGCTGCAATATATTCAGGAGGTATAGGGAAGGAAACAAAGGAGAGGGGGCGAGTGGCGAT